CGATTGAATTTAAGAAAACCATCATTGAACAATATGAAAGTGGTACATGTGTGGCCGAACTGTCCAGGATGTATAAGAAACCCTACACAACCTTATGTTCCATAGTGGCCAAGAAAAAGGAAATAAAGGATGCTGTTGTTCCAAAGAGAGTAACTATGCTGACAAAAATGAGATCACCAGTACTGGAAGAGGTTGAGAAGTTATTATTGGTGTGGATAAATGAGAAACAATTAGCAGGAGATACTCTTATGACTTCGTTTATTTGTGAAAAGGCTAGGCAGTTGCATGAAGATTTGGTAAAGAAATTGCCTGCAAATAGTGGTGAAGTGAGTGAATTTAAGGCCAGCAAAGGCTGGTTTGAGAGATTTAAGAACCGTACTGGCATACACAGTGTGGTAAGGCATGGTGAGGCTGCCAGTTCGGACCACAAGGCAGCTGAAAAATATGTGCATGAATTCCAGGAGTACATAGAGGCTGAAGGACTGAAACCTGAACAAGTGTTCAATTGTGACGAAACAGGCCTCTTTTGGAAGAAAATGCCAAAGAGGACCTTCATTACACAAGAGGAAAAGGCAATGCCAGGACACAAGCCTATGAAAGACAGGCTGACCCTAATGTTCTGTGCTAATGCTAGTGGGGATTTCAAAGTGAAGCCATTACTAGTGTACCATTCTGAAATCCCAGATTGTTCAGGAAAAACAATGTTATGAAGATAAATTGTGTGTGTTTTGGAAATCTAATAGTAAGGCATGGGTCACGAGGGAAATTTTCGTCGAGTGGTTCAATGAAGTGTTTGGCCCTAGTGTGAAGGAGTATCTCCTGGAAAAGATATTGGATCTCAGTGCCTGCTAGTAATGGACAATGCACCTGCTCATCCTCCAAACTTGGATGACCTAATTTTCGAGGAGTTTGGGTTCATCACAGTAAAGTTCTTGCCCCCGAATACCACTCCTCTCCTCCAACCCATGGACCAGCAGGTTATTGCAAACTTTAAAAAACTCTACACAAAAGCAATGTTTCACAGGTGCTTGACTGTGACCACAGACACTCACTTGACCCTAAGGAAATTTTGGAGATAACACTTCAGCATCCTCCACTGCATAACCCTTATAGGTATGGCTTGGGAGGAAGTGACTACCAGGACTTTGAACTCTGCCTGGAGAAAATTGTGGCCAGATTGTGTCGACAAGAGGGATTTTGAAGAATTTGGGACTGACCCTAATGAGCCTATGTCTGTTGTAAAATCAATTGTTGCACTGGGAAGTTCCATGGAGATGGATGTGAGTTTGGAGGATGTGGAAGAATTGGTGGAAGACCACAATGAAGAGTTCACCACTGAGGAGCTGCAAGAGCTTCAGCAGGAAGAGCAACACATCGAAGCTCAGAATCTTGCTGCAGAGGAGGAGGAAGAGAGATGGAAGAAGGTGCCTTCTTCAGAAATTAAAGAGATTTTTACTATGTGGGGTAAGATGGAAAGCTTTATGGAGAAACATCACCCTAACAAGGTTGTTGCAAGCCAGGTTGGCAACATGTACAGTGACAAAGTCTTGGGCCATTTTAGGGAAGTGTTAAAGAGACGCCAGAAACAGAGCTCTCCCTACAGTTATTTTGTGAGACAGGACTCCAGTGACTCTCAAGGTGGTCCTAGTGGCATTAAGAAACAGAGAAGAGAAGCAACCCCAGAAAAGCAAATGGTACCCGAGGTGTTGATGGAAGGGGATTCCCCTTCCAAACTATAAACAATCCACTCTCTCCTCCTCCTCCAGTCTCCCATACACTAAGAAGAATCTCCAATAAAGGTAAGTGTTATGCTGTTAATGTTTCATTCATCATTTCCCATTGTATTGTTTATGTACTACATGCATATTTCATGTTAAAAATTTTTTTGTTTTAAAACTTCTGGGTGTCAGGAACGGATTAATTGTATTTACATTATTTCTTATGGGGAAAATTGATTCGTAAATCGTAAATTTCGTTTATAGTAACGGCTCCAGGAACGGATTAATTACAAACAACGAGGGACCACTGTATTTATGGAAAAATCGCCTTCACATACTTTAACACCATGATACTGCATGTTAACTCAACTCCGAGGGAGTAACTCCAAGCAGCCAGGAGTGATTTAAGTTTCCCACACGCCTCCACGGGGTAACTACTCTAAACAATATATGGTTGTCACTTCCCAATGAGATTATTTGTACGTATTTATTTATTTATTTATTTATTTATTTATTTATTTGAACATGATACAGAGAAGTACAAGGAATACAATTTTTAAAGTGCAGCATGCCAAAGCCCCTTGTATGCAGAGCATTATGGGCAGGCTTAAAATTAACTTAAGATTAACTTAGCAATGATATATTCAGTGGTACAAAAATTATTGTCAAACAGATAACAATTTAGTACAAATGAGTATTACAAAGACAGGTCATATGGTCATTTACTGTGTTGCTGTGTAATCAGTAGAATGGAGTATTCTGTTAGGTAATGAAGTTAAATAGTAACAAAGTTTGATTGGGTCACAGGTTGACATTTATGAGATACAATAATGAGATACAGTTTATGAGATACAATTATTCAGTATTTATTTAGTTGTGGGTAAGTGATTTTTGAGAAGAGGCTTGAATTTATAAACAGACAGTGTTTCTTTTATATTCACAGGTAATGAATTCCAGATTTTAGGGCCTTTTATGTGCATTGAGTTTTTGCATAGCGTGAGATGGACACGAGGAACATCAAAGAGTGATCTGTGTCTTGTGTTATGGTCATGTGTTCTGTTAAGGTTGGTAAGGAGATGTTTGAGGGGAGGGTTAATATCAGAGTTAAGTGTTCTATGTATGTAATAGGTGCAGTAATAAGTATGGATGTTTTGTATGATAGCAGGTTTAGTGTTTTGAATATTGGTGGAGTGTGCTGCCTGTAGTGGGAATTTGTTATCATTCTGACTGCAGCCTTTTGTTGGGAATTAGTGGTCTGAGATAGTTAATTGTTGTTGAGCCCCATGCACAAATTCCATAGGTGAGATAGGGGTAAATAAGAGAGTGATATAGGGCCAGGAGGGCTGACTGTGGGACAGAGTACCGTATCTTCGATAGTATGCCTACGGTCTTTGAATTTTTTTTGGAAATTTGTTGTATATGTGTTTGAAATTTGAGTCTATTATCAAGGTGGATTCCTAAGAATTTTCCCTCTGTGAGTTTTGTGATAGGTGATCCATTTATCATTATGTTAAGAGACACATCTGCAACTCTGTTACCAAACTGAATGTAGTAGGTTTTGTCAATGTTTAGAGTAAGTTTGTTGGTTCTCATCCAGGTTGATATTTTCTGTAATTCGGTATTTACAGTATTGACTAGCATGACTGGGCTCGGGTGAGAGTAGACGTATGTAATATCATCTGCAAATAGTGTGGGTTTGAGTAGTTGTGATACATTTGGTAGGTCATTTATGTATATGAGAAAGAGAAGAGGGCCAGGGACACTTCCCTGTGGGACACCAACTGTAATTGGTTGTGCGGAAGAGTTTGCAATGTTTGCAATGACGAAGCTCATACAGGTAACCTTAAAAATTCCCACACTACTCACCCTAAACTAAATACTCAATATTTAACTTTACCAAAAAATCTCCCAAATTACCTAAATCTTAAAACTTCAAAACTAGACGCCCAAAGTTTTTTCATTATTAATACTATACTACATTGTAGTGTAAATGCCTACCCAGCACAATACTACCTTACAACCAGTTGTAACATTCTTATACTCTAAACTACTTTCAATAACTCACAGTGTTATATTCCCATAATATAATTTTAATATTTATTATTGAAACTATTGTAATTAGAGTAGAATTACTATCTACTATAAATAAAAAAAAAGATGTACAACTTAACAAACTATGATAAATTTCTTTAGTATTAAGTAGTGTGTAACCCATTAAATTAAGTCTGCCCATAATTCCTAGGCATGATAGTGGCTCTTGGTACTGCAACTCTTTATTGTAATTTCATAATCTCAATGTAATTTTGCAAAGAAATAACATTTGTTTTTGTGTGTTTTTTATATATATATATATATATATAAATATATATATATAATATATATATATATATATATATATATATATTATATATATATATATATATATGCATACTGCTCTTTTTCTGTATTTTTTTGTACCTCTGTATGTGTGCACAAATTTTTAAATAAATAAATAAATAAATAAATAAATATAAATAAATATTAATATATATATATAATATATATAATTATATATACTATAATATATATATATATATATATATATATATAATATATATATATATATATATATATATATATAATATATATATATATATATATATATATATATATTAATATATTTATATATATATATATATATATATATAATATATATATATATATATATATATATATATTATATATATATATATATATATATATATATATTTTATATATATATATAAATATATATATATATATATCTATGTACTATTGTGGTGATATTTTTACCATATTATATACAAGTCTTCTTATCATGTATTAAAAGTGGGCGGACACAGACACACAGCGCAGCACAATGTTCTCAATTTATACATCACATTCGTAGCGTTAATCTATTTACAGTAATAAAACGGTTTATTTAAGCTAATTTTCCTACAAACAATATAATAGTTAAAGTACGTATATATAAATATAATAACCTAATAATATATTTTAGCGTATTTTTATTGAATTCCATTAAGGTTTTTGAGGATGAGGAGTTGGTATGACTGCTGACATTGATATTCAGTCGTCTGCTCTCTCAACATGGCAAGGATAACCCATAAGATTCTCTCACGTGTCCTAAAATTAAGCTATTGTTATTAGTATATTATTTATTTTCTGTTATTTATTTTGTAAATTTTATTTGCAATATATAAATATATTATTAATGAAAGTATATATTGTTGTAATATGAGAGTTGAGAGATGTAAACAAAGGCGGATGGATTAGTATGGCCAGGTAGTGGTGGTGGTGGTGGTCAATATTAGTGTCACTACACATTATACTCCACTCTTAACTACCACCAGCAGCTGCTGCAAGGTAACTCACTATCACATCTACAGTGAGGTAGTGTTCCTCTACACTATATAACACTCACACTTACTGAGATTATAACAACACTGATACACGTCACACTACATTATTTTCCTCATATACTGTCTTGTTTCCTTAAGGAACAGTTAATTCCCCCGTCATTTAATAACATGTTCATTTTTCCACTATAATCTACATTGTTCATAATTACTATCACATTTGCTTTGTCTGTTTCGTAAGGTGAAGTCTGAGATGTTAAGTTCAAGTTATAACTTAATAATGTTGAGCTTGACTCACACCTCTACAACACAATGAAGAGTCTCACTTACTGGAATAAGATAACATTTTGTTTGGATTTTTAACCCCGGAGGGTTAGCCACCCAGGATAACCCAAGAAAGTTCATCATCAAGGACTATCTTATTTCCATTGGGTCGTCAATCTTGTCCCCCAGGATGCAACTCACACCAGTCACTAACACCCAGGTACCTACTTGCTTGCTAGGTGAACGGAAAAACAGGTCAAGAAACATGCCCAGTGTTTCCACACTTGCTGGAGATCGTACCATGGACACTCACTGTGTGAGGCGAGAGCGTTGCCTACCAGGCTATGGTTGAAGTCCCTTGACCTGTACTCCTTGGACTGCAGGCAAGAAAGATACATCATAATGTACACTTGAAAAATCTTAGTGGGACTACTCGCCACTCTACATATGGAAATCATTCCCTACAAAAGCAGAATACTTGACAGGTGGTGCAATATCCCCCAATGAAAAGTAGGGATGCCACATGTGTACTAAGAGGCACAATAAGTATCAGGGGCCCAAGACTGTTCAACTGCTTCCCAGCATACATAAGGGGAATTACCAATAGACCCCTGACTGTCTTCAAGAAGGTGCTGGATGGACAGGCACCTAAAGTCAGTACCTGGCCAACTGAGCTGTGGTTTGTTCATGGATTTACGTGTGACCAGCAGTAATGGCCTAGTTGATCAGGCCATGATCCACTGCGAGGCCTGGTCATGGACTGGACCACAGGGGCGTTGACCCCCGAAACACCCCTCAGGCAAACTCCTCATAATTTCACCGAGACAGGCTGTAAATCATGAATTGGTAAATTACAAATAAATTCCAGCAGTTCAGTGACTTACCTTTCTTGGAGTTTACCTGGAGAGAGTTCCGGGGGTCAACGCCCCCGCGGCCCGGTCTATGACCAGGCCTCCTGGTGGATCAGAGCCTGATCAACCAGGCTGTTACTGCTGGCTGCACGCAAACCAACGTACGAGCCACAGCCCGGCTGGTTAGGAACCGACTTTAGGTGCTTGTCCAGTGCCAGCTTGAAGACTGCCAGGGGTCTGTTGGTAATCCCCCTTATGTATGCTGGGAGGCAGTTGAACAGTCTCGGGCCCCTGACACTTATTGTATGGTCTCTTAACGTGCTAGTGACACCCCTGCTTTTCATTGGGGGGATGTTGCATCATATGCCAGGTCTTTTGCTTTCATAGTGAGTGATTTTCGTGTGCAAGTTCGGTACTAGTCCCTCTAGGATTTTCCAGATGTATGTAATCGTGTATCTCTCTCGCCTGTGTTCCAGGGAGTACAGGTTCAGGAACCTCAAGCGCTCCCAGTAATTGAGGTGTTTTATCTCCGTTATGCGCGCCGTGAAGGTTCTCTGTACATTTTCTAGGTCAGCAATTTCACCTGCCTTGAAAGGTGCTATTAGTGTGCAGCAATATTCCAGCCTAGATAGAACAAGTGACCTGAAGAGTGTCATCACGGGCTTGGCATCCCTAGTTTTGAAGGTTCTCGTTATCCATCCTGTCGTTTTTCTAGCAGATGCGATTGATACAATGTTATGGTCCTTGAAAGTGAGATCCTCCGACATGATCACTCCCAGGTCTTTGACGTTGGTGTTTCGCTCTATTTTGTGGCCAGAATTTGTTTTGTATTCTGATGAAGATTTAATTTCCTCGTGTTTACCATATCTGAGTAATTGAAATTTCTCATCGTTGAACTTCATATTGTTTTCTGCAGCCCATTTAAAGATTCGGTTGATTTCCCCCCGGGACCCTTTTGCGTGTTTTAAAATTGGAAGACACTGTTTTGCGGGATTCGGGTGTCTTCTGAAAAGGGGAAGGGAACGGTATGGGGCCCTGACATCCTTGTCTGTCGATTTGGGGTGGGGACAAAAAGGGAGGGGAGTACTGTCCCTTGGGGAAAAACAGAGCTTTTCACCGTAGCTCCCTGGGACTTTATTTCTGTTGACGATTTACTCTCTGTGTTCGGTTAGTGGGGAAATTTATGTTCCTTTAAACCAATTTTTCCCTGTTTTTTTAGCAGGGCATTTTGTGCGTTATTACCCCATGGTCAACTTGTCAAAGGGCTTTTGCAAAGTTTTTTGAATATATTCCTGCATTTTTTTTGTTTTTCTGGCATCTGGGGACCTTTGCGTGTGATCCAAAAAGTTCGACAGACAGGAGCGCCCTTTTTAAAAACCCCTGTTGCCCTGGGTGTTTTTAAATTGAGGGGTTTTTCTAGATGGGGGGGTGATTTTGGCTTTTGGGCCCCTTTCAAAGTTTTTTATGATATGGGATGTTTTTGCATCGGTTGTAGTTTTTTGCTATTGTTTTACTGCCCTTTTGGGGGGTGGGGCTATGTTGTTGTTTTTGTAACTGGGGGGCGACCCCCTTTGCCCATGCTCCCTCTCCTTTAGGAGGGGAAAAAAGTTGTGAAAAGGGGGTTCTTGCAGTTCGGGATAAAACACGGAGTTCCATGAGTCGGCCCCGGGGGGAAGAGTGTTTGGGGCAGGGTTTTTTCCCCTGTTCAAAGGGTTTTTTGGAGTCAGGATAACACAGATAGGCTTGTGTTAACAAAATTTGTGGCGCTCTCAAAAAAAAATTCATTTTGATTTTCGACTCTGTTGGTTAGGGGCCCTGAAAAAAAACTGAGTTATTTTTGGGCCCTTGAGTTGCTCACTCTTTCCTTGTGTCATCGTGAAAGGGACCCTATTTTTTAAAGGGGGGGCCCCAATTTCCGGGAAAGTTGTTCTTACTTTTTTTTGGGGCCTTGAAGGGAAATATTTGGGTTTTTTTCTTTTTTAAATTTATGGCTTTTAGTTTTCCCCGGTTTCCTGACCCCTATAAGATTCCTTTAGTTTAAAAGTTCGATTTTGCAAATTTCTTGCCCAGTGACCCCCTTTGAATTTTTGGTTTTATTGCCCCTTTTTTAAACCCGCTTTATTTTTTTTCCGTCGCCTTTTAAAGGGCGCCTGTCTCTTTTTTTTTTAAATCTACTCCTCCTTTCCCCTTAGGGGAAATTAAGCCTTGGATACATCGAGTGCCACGAGTTATCTGTTTTTGGCAAAAGTTGGGGGTCTGTGTTGTTGTATTTCCCCCCAGTTAAGGGGTTTTAGGACTTGGTTTATTTGGTCCCATTTTTGGGTTTTTTTGTTATTAAAGGGTGAATTTGGGGGAATTTGCTCCCTCGTGACTAATCTCTTTTGTGGGTTTGGGGGGGCCCCCACGCATACATGTTTAACCCTAAATTTATGTTGTGATCGGGAGATATTTTTTTTAAATATGGTGACATTTTTATCAGACCCAAAGGGTTAGTGAAGTTGAGGTCTAGTGTTTTCTCCGTTAGTAGGCTCAATTTTTGGGGTTTTAAAATTAAATTTTTTGTGCAGGGTTTTAAAAAAGTCGTGTGGGTGGTGTTTTGGGTTGAGGTGTGTGTTCGGCGTGTGGGTGTTTTGGGTGGGGTGTGTGTGCTTTTGTGTTTTGTTTTGGTGGTGTGTGTGGTTTTGTGTGTGTGGCGGTGTGTGTGGCGTGTGTGGGTGGTGTGTGTGTGGTGTGTGTGTGTGTTGTGTGTGTGTGTTGTGGGTGGTGTGTGTTTTTGTGTGTGTGTGTGGGGATTTTCTCATCGGAGCTCCCTCCTGGTGTTATTACTGAAAAACAACTTATTTGCTATATTCCTCCATTTTAGGTCCCTTTAAGTTGAAACCCCCCAGGAGCAAGAGGTTGGGTGCAGGAGCGGGGAAAGTTTTTCCCCGACAGTGGCAATTTTTAACAGTTTTCCCTGGAATTGCTGGGTTGTTGCATCCAGGGGTTTGTGGGACTACCACCATGTAGGTTTTGGTTCTCAAACTTTACTGCTAAAACTTCCCTACATCATTTGAGGTTTTAAGAGTTCTGGGGCAAAAAAGGGGACTCTGGAGTACAGGCCAACCCCCCCTTTTTGGGCTGTTCACTTTTTTCGCATCTGTATAGGTTGTAACCGGGGGATTTTTTTTTCTTTTGTAAAAAAGTGCCCCCTTTATGGGGTTTCCCAGTAAAAGGGCCGCGAACATTCCCTTTGCCCCCTGAAAGCAGCCCACGTTTGAAAAAATTTTTTGTTGTTTGTTCCCGGCTTTTTAAAACCCTGTTATTTGAAAATTAGAATGTCATGGGGACTGGGGTATTTTTGGGTACGGGGGGGGATTTTTCTTTTCGGCATTAGAAACTGTATCTTTTGGTTTGGGGTGGGGGGGCCATTGACTGGGGTTCCACTCCGGAATGACGGGAAATTTGGTTTTTGATTTTCTGCATTTCCTCCCCATTTTTTTTTCCCTTTCCCTTTGGCACAAAAAAACCTCTCCCTCTTGAGTGGCTGTGGTACCCGGTTTTTCCCAGGGGCCTGGGGTTTTTTTCTTTTTTGTACCCTTTAGATGGTGGGCCTGGAAATTTTAAAGTTATAGCATAGTTTTTTCCCTGACTGAAGGGTACACATTTCAGGGTGAAAAAGTTTAAACAGGAAGGGGTTTGCTTTTCCTTTTGCATGGGGCATGGCATTTTCAAGGGTGGTCATAGTTCTTTTTCTCATCTTTTTTTTCCAGTTTTCCCCCATCCCTGCAGATCCCAAGTCCCATATTTAAGGCACGGGCTTGGTTTCCTTTTTTGCTTGGGTTTTTGTGATGTTTTCCCTGTTGGTGCAGGTTTACCTGTCTTTTTCCTATCTCACTAGCACCAAAAGGAG